CATTACAGTGAAATGGAAATATTTATCAAAACCGCTCTTTCTGCCAAGGAAGATAATCACAAAGGTAATGTCTCGTTTGATCCTTAATTGACCTGTGTGTTTTTAATTAGGAAGCAGGAGAATTAACCTAGAGCTAATTACGGTCTTCACTTTACAAACCTGTAAGTGCATAATTTTACTCACATAAGTATTCCTTAGTGAAGTTATGCATGAACAAATACGTTTGTAGCTTCAGGGAATAGGTCTTGAATAACTTAACCTTTTAAAAACTTTTAAGTGGCTACTTTATAAATGTTTCTTATATACAACCCATTTTGTGTTTTAGGCTTTAGATGTGAAATTTTTCTGAACACCAAAGAATATTTCCTTTTGTTTCAGTAAAATAGCAACAGTTATTTTTGTGTTAAGGAAATAAATGGTAACTTTAAAGAATGAACACTTTAAATATGTGCCTTTGTTCATCCTGGTCAGTGAAACTGCAGTCTTTGGCTTCATGACATCAAAGTGTAGAGGTTGTAGTAATGCATTTTGATTTCAGCACTGAATTAATTTTAATGTGTAACACAGTCAGTTTCAGGGGAAGAAACTTCCTGAGACCTGTGTCATGCAGGTCACTGCATACTACAGTTCCCTCACTATTGGAAAAACTTTCTGGAACATATAAAGGGGGAACCTAAGCTCCCCGATGCTCTTCCCACACGCACATTGCTACTCTAGTCTCTTCGTTACATTCAGTGGTTTGTGCACATTTCATCAAACTCTGAAAACTCTGTGGATCTGTATCTGCAGTCCTGCAAGCTGCAATGGATGACTCCAAATACCAATTATATAAGGCTTAGAATTGTAATCGTGACTTACATGCAAATGCCCTCCCAAATGGTCGTTGTACCACCAGATGAGGACTAGCTTTACACCCAGACTCCAACAGAACACAGCTCCTTCAGCCTACTTTCCCAAGGCAATGTTTAGACTTGCTTATCTGTGGATAAACATGTCTGCCAGACCCTCTCTAATAAGTTTTGAGTCTATTGGCCAATTATAACCAAATCTGACATAGGCTTGGAGGCCTAAAAGATATTCACTCTGACAAGCAGCAGAAAAGCAAGCAGCTGGGCTGAGGAGGCAGCCCCTGTAAGTGACCCTGTGGAGAGAAAGGCTGGAGCACCGACACACCGCTCAGCCAGTGGGGACCCCAGCCTCGAGACACAACACCTAAGGAAAGAGGTTCCTTTGGGTTTTGCTTCTTATCACAATCCTGCAACACAGTCCGCGTATGAGAGCAGCTAAAACATATTGCCTGTGTACCAGAGACACACAGATCCACGCACCTCTCTGTGTGTACTGTGTAAGCACTCAAACCTGGGTGTGCGTGCACAGTGTGGCGTGAACTGATCATAAAGAATAATTGATCACGCAGCAATTTTTTTTACAGCTTGATGAACTGTTGACATTTTAAGCACAGAAAAGTAAACTCAGTAATGTAGTGTGTGAGAAAACTGCTACAATGTAATCAAACACTACATTATGAAGTATTTTAGTTACAAAATCATTTCCTTACTACAAAAAGGTCCAGCCCTTGTAAATGCTGTAATAGATAAATCTTTCCTCCTTTAATGCACTCAAAAGAACAAGGTTGTTGATATATAGCATAATACAATTATTAGTTATCATCAGAATGTTACAATTCGTAGACTTTTCAAAACCTTATCCTATAACCCTTTTCACATTTTTGCTACCTCAACCAAATACAAAACATCAAGAAGAAAGGGCTCACCAGAAGTAAGCCCAGTCCGAAACGTATGCCAGTGAAAAAAAAAATCAGTTTGACACACAAGAACTTTAAACCAAACTGCAGGGTTTTCAAATCAGTTTCCTCCAGATTTTGCCTATCTGCCGCAAGGTTTTCAGTTTGTTTGAGACAGTTTAAAAATAGCTCATATCTTCTGAAAAGGAACAAAAATCTGAATGGCAATAAATCTAAGATATATTTTATAGTTTGTTTTACAGGGTACCACCAATAGATGTAATGAATTTGTTTCTGTTCTGTATTTGCAGTATTTACAGCACAATGATCACTTTGGCACATATAAGTCAAATATTTTTACATCTATGAATCCTCACCCAATTTCTTAATTTAATGACAACCAAGATAACCATGTTGCTTTATATGCCACTCTATCGTTGCATCTACCATAAAGTCAGTAGAAAATACCTGTCACAAGTTTTTAGAGACTTTTCTGGCTTAGCCCATGTTCTATCTGAAAGCTGTGAAGTACTTACAATGGCTGTTGTCAGCAGTAGTGTAGGCCGGACCCAGAGACATCCCTTCACTCTCCCCAGGACACTGCATTCAGTATCATGTTCATAAGACAAAGCAAAGCAGCCCCTTCCCCACAGGATTTACAGTCTGGGCAAGTGCTTTGTAGTCAGCATCAAGGAATCAGTGGTTAAGAAACAGAACAGCTCATAAACATTCTTCTAAAAAAAAAAAAGTTAATCTTATTTCTTGGAAGTAGTAACAGATTTCCCACCTGAGCATCAGACTTCTTCTCCGTGTTTCCTTACACCTGGCAACAGATATTATGTCTTACTTATTGAAGCTCTTTTTTTGCTAGGAAACAATACACTGAGAAGAATGACAGAAACAGGCAAGAAAGATTAGATGCTGGGAACAGCCTTTGTGAATCTGTCAGTTTACATCATTACCAACCAAAGCTCTTTTAAACAGAGTTTCAAGACCTGAGGGCTTGATTCTGCCAAGGGAGGAGTGCCTGACTGCAACAAAGACCCCAGCACATGCATCACTTTAATTACACAAGTGCACCAATTAAAACGGACCCCTTTGTACCCTTAAAATTAAGTATGTACTTAAGTGCTAACTTGGAACCAAAGCATTCAGTATACTGACCCACATGAAGGACTGCTATAGGTCAGGGATACACACAGACATAGATAGGTACAGATATAACTTCCTCAAAGGCCTGAGAGTTTTTTTCCCTCATTGCACAAGTGTCAACCAAGGGCAGCTCAACTGAAGCCAAGCAGGGCAGTAGGTTGTGGGAAGACAGTCAAGGCCCCTAGTTGTATTTACTGTGATGGATTCCTTGTTTTGAAATAACTGCAAAATCGTTTTATAACAATGCAAAATTTCAACACATGAACCAGAGAACCTTCCTATAAGCACATTATGAATTCACCATATCACTCTAATAGTAAAATGCTGTTTTCATTTTTGGTTGCTTTCAAAAACCTCTTAAAGAAATCCACTCCCTGCACGTGCAGCCTGTGCCAGTAAAAGAAAGCAGGAATAACTGGTGGTGCAAATCACACTAGTCATCATACAGAGGCGATTTTGTCCTCTGTAGGCCATCATATGGTATTCATTCTGTCAAATTAATGTACACTGCCTCCACAAGTTATTCCCAGAGACCGTAGTTTTTACCATCCTAACTTGAACATGCCTGTCATTCAAAATGATCCATTCTCAGAAAATAACTCTGTCTGTACTCATTTCCCTCCTCTTGAAGTAAACTTTAAGTGAAGTAGAAGAGACCATTTTGGCCCAAAAAGGAGACAACAGAAAAAATGCTGGAAGTTCAAAGTTTATAAAAGCGTGAATGGGACAGAGAGGAATAGGGACCAATTCTGCACTAACTATGCAAGACATAGGTACTATCAAACAAGGGTTCAGAATAAAATCGTGTGGGAGCTGACACAGTGTAAAGTTAAAGCTATGAAATTTCTTGCCACGGCATGTTGTTAGAAGTTTACACAGGGTCAAGGGTCACTCAGAGAAGTTCATGGAAAGGAAAAATCGGTGAGTGCTATAAAGACACCAGCTCTCCCTTAGGAAGCATCCATACTGCAAATCATTGCATGCTGAGAGAGCCTTCTGGAGAATTATCCTTACACTCCTTATTTTTACTCCCGCTCAGGCACCGCTTTTTGCATTGTCACACCCAGGACACTAGACAGACCTCTGGGTTTATCCACAAGAGACTCCTAAATAGTGACACTTTCTGTAATTCACTTTCATCAAGTTCTTAAATCAAGTGGTCAAACGCTATGTTTCTGAACAATATTACCAAAGACATTGACTGCTATAACCTAACTGTTAAAACAGAGTTGACATCAGTCCATCACAAGCAACAAAGTCTCTCAGTTCACAATACTCATACTGCTGCTCAAGAGATTCCCTGCTCCCAAAGATTCACAGGGCCCTCCATCCTCTTCGGCTACATTACAAGGTGTACCATGACACATAGGCATTTTGATTTAAAAGTTCATTTCGAGAGCACTGAAGATTAATCTCTGGCTTCTGGCGTGCACACAACGAGATCGTATCGATCGTGTGACCCAGGCCTCCCGCCTGGGGCCACTAACACGCTTCGCCGCAGCTGCTCAGCTGAAGTTCGGGACAGCCCGCGGCGAGTGCTCCGTGCCCCGCACGGGACGGGGCAGGAGCGGGCCCGCCCTGGGTCCCCCGAGCAGCCGGCCGGGGCAGGCTGAGCCCCGGCGCTGGGCTGGAAGGCTCCGATGAGGTTCAGGGCGCTGCCCCCGCGTAGGCGGACACACAGCCGGGGACACCGATGTTCCCAAGCCCGTCACTCCCCGGGACCCCCGGCCGCGCAGGTGCCCGGCCAGTCCCGCCGCAGCATCTCCGCCTCGCAGCGCTCGCTCCCCGCCCGGCTCCCGCGTCCTTACCGCCTGCGAAGGCTGCCGGGCTCCGCGGGGCTGCCGCCTCTCTCGCCGCGCTCGCACCTCGCCTGCCTTCCGCGCACACCCCCTTCCCGCCTGGCTCGCAGCCGCTGTACTCGAGTCTGGGGTGGTTTGGGGCTTTTTCCCCTCCTCTCGCCCTCTCCAGCTCCCACTAGTGCTCGCACTCCCGGCCAGCCGGCTCAGGACTAGCTGCCGCCGCCTCCTCCTCCCGCCCCCCCGCGGCGGCCGGCGCGGAACTGCCCCCCCGCCTCTACCACTCGAGGGGACCCCCGGTTACTCACAGGGGGCTGCGGAGCCCCAGAGACGGGGCTTCACGGGCCGGTCACCCTCCCCTATTAATCACCAGCCAAGTAACCAGCCGCCGCGTCCTCCCACACACTCAGCCAAGTCCCCCCGCACTTGGCTGGCGGGACCGGGAGATTTAAGAGAAGCGAGGCAATTTAGTGCCAGGATTAAATTAACAATCGAGATAAAACGGACAGCGTGGGAACGGGTGATTGAAAAATGAATCGCCGATACGTTGCATAGTGTTTATAATGTCAGCAATAATTTATTACTAAATGTAGGCAGCACCACAGCCCCCATGTAGATATTCCTGCTGCAACTTGTACTGCATCTCAAAGGCAGTCCAGTACTATCCCACGTTACCTTACAGATCAGGGTTTTCAACCTCAGTATTGCGTTATTACTTCTTCTCTCTTTTCTATGATTGATTAAAGGAAATAACAGATCAGCAGTTGAGGTTATCATATTAGAAGTTTATGACCACAGTTTAGTCGACTGTAACACGTTATAACGAAAGGAAGGTGAATTTAAAATGGGAATGTTTGAAAGTGTGACTGGATTAGCATTTTAGTGTGCATCAGGAATGCACTTTGAAGCAGTTGTGGAGCAACCTCAGTGTACGAACTACAAGCAGTAAGTCAGAAAATGCATCCCAAGAGTGCACCTAATGCACTCTGAGGGCACCAGGCATCCCATGCACAAGGTGAGGCTGCAGCTAGTACAAATGCCTTGGCCTGAGCAATCAGGTCCTCAGGACCAGCTGTTTCAGATGGCAAATCTTCTGGGCCATGCTCACTGATGATGCAGGCACACTGATGTGTCTAACCTCACATAACTTCAGTTAACTTCACCCTAACCTCACATAATTTCAGTTTCTCACACTCAAGAGGAGTTAATACACTTCCTCACTTTCCAAGGGGGTTGGTGTATTAATGCTACATTCACATACACAGAAGCTGGTCTATCGTCCAATGACTCAAAATATTTAATTTGCAGAATATTTCTCCAGTATTTGGGGGCAGATACGTGAAGGAGAAGGCAAGCTATCTTTGAAGTAGGGCTTCTTCCACTGCGTGTATATCTCTCTGTTCTTAGGCCCAAACCTGTACTCTCCCTGCTAATTGTAGGCATGGGGCTTTTTTTCACCTCAGTTATAGTAGAGACAGATGTGGGGAAAGACTTATTACTAGCCAAAGCAAATTTAGAAATGCTGAAACAAACTAGGAGAAAACTTGTTCCAGCAAGATTTCTGCACTGCTGTTTTGTGAAATCTGTGTATTCAAGTTGTCCTTGTGCACTTCATGCTCCACATTTTTTTTGGCCTGTATCCTAGCCACAGTTCATTGTAACACAGGTAGATTGTCTATTGTGAGCCCAAGGTTTCCCTCTCAGCAGAGATACTTCACTTTTCAATTGGTTTCCCTTTTCTCTTTGCCTCCTACAGACAAACAAGAGAAAACGAAGACGAACAGAAGTACTGGCTCTCCTAGAAAACAACTGAATAACTATTGCTGCTGCACTGGCAAGAGAAACCTAGAAAACATGGAACTCAAAGAGAAAAGAAAAACACACCCTCAGGAAGTAATAAAGAGAGGGATGAAAAAGAAGAGAAGATGTAAAAATAAATAGAAAAGGAACAAAAGGAAGGTGTAACCGAATTGAAAGTGCCATAAAATGAAACATTTGGCAATGAGAAAAAGGCCTTACGAACACCTTTGCTTCACACTGCTGAACTGAAGGACTGAAAAACAATGTTTCCTTTGAGGCACCAAAATAATTAACTATTTACTGAGTATGTGAGAATCGGGGATTTGTACTATAGTGCTCCAATGCCAGTGCATAGACCAAAAGGGCAAAGTTGTTCACTCAATTCCTTGAAAAGATACAGAAAATCTTCAAAAATGCATGCCCTTCTGAGCTGCAATGTATCATTAGCAACATAAAATATGCAGTCCTGGACTGAGCTCTAATGAAGGCATCACAATTTCTGTCTTCTCTCCACAAGCTCCACTTAATCTCTTCTAAGTGGACCATTTCAGCCACTATTCTTTAACTCCTAATTATATCAGACCTGATTATAACAACACTTGAATGAAAATGCTCAAAATATACTCCTGGTGGCAATACTGAAAGGGAGATGTAGTGTTGCCCAACAAGACACTGTTTGAGGCTGCTGGGTAATTGTCTAAATCTTCTATCATTGCTAAGGTAAACAGATGAAACCACAAAAATGTTTGAGCCTCCTGGCAAAGCTTTTGGTGTGCTTTCACCTTCCTGACCTCAAAGTGTTGAGCACTGCACTACTCCTCTGCAATTCCTTCTCATACTACGTGTTGCCAGAGGAGGAGAATCCCCCCCTGCCCTAAACACATTCAAATAAACCGTCTGGTGGAAAAACAAATATTGTGTGATCTCTTCACCTCTTGTCTATGTTTAGAAAAGACATCATAATCCTTTCTATTTTAGAAGCAAATGCTCTCTCTCGCTTTCCAAAACAGTAGTATTCTCTGTGTCTTGTGAAGAGCTTGTGGCTTTGTGCTTTGTGCATTGCTTCTCCTTGGTAAACAACTTCAACAAGTCTGTTTGCCATTCACTGGCCCTGGGTATTTCATAAAGGAAAAACACACATATGCAACCAATTTATTCCCATTTTCCTAAATGTTGATCAGACATTATGATTTTCCAACTGCACCAAAGCTGGAGGTTTCAGAAATGTGGAAAAAAAATGGTATTATCATGCCAGATTAAATAGAGCTTTTCTTCACTGTACAGGCAGAATGAGACACAGCATTCTTACAGTTCTATAACACAATTACATCTCATCTTCAAAACTCAATACCAGGCTTCATTTGTCTTTGTTTACTCATAGATTACAACTGATGGTTTTCTACCATCTGTTTGCTGGAGTATAGTGTCCATAGTGCAGGGCTGTGATTTTCAAATCAACCCTTAAACTGTCATAAACAGAATATTGAAAAGTTCCATCAGCCAGCTACAAAATTACTTAGGAAAGATATAATTACCATATACACTATGTCAAAAATGCTTTTGTTCATAAGATATACTGATCACCTACCCAGTGCCTCTTGTAGTATGCTTATAAAAAACCCCAAACATGTAAAACACACTTTAATGGCCAAGAGTTGATTGAAACGTTATTCACAGACTCAAGTTATGCTTATTTATACGCAGCACAGTCTTATTTCATATTTGCTGTGCAAACTCTAGAAGCTTAGGGTCAAATTCACTTCTTGTTACCTCACTCTGCCATAGGATACATATGTACATATATGTGTTTAAGTATGTATTACACTGGAAGTAAAACACTGACAGCCCATCTCAATAAAAGGAGAGGAACAAGAAGAAAGGGTACATGCTTCCCATGTGAAATGGTAATTGCAAGAGGGACAGAGCATTGGAAAGAACATAAAAGGCACTATATTTGAACAAAATTATTTAAGACAGCCGTTCCCAAACTGAGATCCAGGGACTAACTCCCTCCTGGGGAGGGCAGCTGGCTGCCTGCCTCAGCATCTTTCACCAGCAAGAGGAGCCAGCAGTCAGCCATAACATCCTCCACAAGTTTCAATGTGCTGGAGTCCTCTTATGAATTTCTGGCATTCACAATCCTTATTGATTTAAATAGAGCTTGAAAGCCATCAAAAATGAACACTAGACATCTTTACTGAGTAAGAAAGTTTACAGTGCAGAAATCTTTAGAGGAAATTTAAAAGAATAAAAACAAATGAGTGTCTCTAGGACAACAGCAGTGTGGAAGAATGCTCGCCGATTAAAAATAAATCTGTTGCCTATAATGTTTTTCACTTCAGTTAAACTACTCAGTCTTAAACTTCAGACAAAACATCCTGGGCTTACAGTACATCCCAAAGCACCCACGTACACCTTGCTGATAGCAGCAGTGCACCTGAGTCCGGTAAATGGACTTGCACAAAGAGCTCTTCACTTGCCTAAGGCTTCCAAGAACTGGGACTTCAGGCTTCATTTTTTTGTGGATTTTGTTATTGTTTCTCCAAACTTCATCAGTATTTTATAGCTTCTGCCCTCTGAACCACTAACTATTTTTGCAATATGGATTTTCCAGTTTAAAGAAACAGCTGAGATAGCAAACTTTAACAATTTCATATTCTAAAATCTAATTAGTTTAATGCAAGGTTATTTGTTCAGGAGTGTTGGTCCTTTAGTCAAGTTTCAGTATAATCTCAACATAATCCCTGATTTTTTTCCCCTTTTACATCTCATACTTCTCTGAAACACTTTAAAATGTTTTGATATACTAAACACTTATTGTGTGCCCTGTTTTGTGCTCAGTATTTTCTTTGATCACTTCTTTGAAACTTAATCCAACAAGTGTTATTTTAATTAGAAGTCTGCCATTGTTCTTTTATAATATTAATTTCATTTCACTATTATGGAGTATATTTTATGTATTTTCTTTCTCTTGAAATTCCTTGGTTTAGGACTCACATAATAAATATGACTTCTATATTTACTGTTTGTCATGTCTATATAGGTTATGTGTATATATCTATATTCTTATTCTTCCTATGCTGTAATGTTATTTGATATTAATGGGATTTCCTCTTGGGTTTAAACCCTTGAAAAAGAGATGGACTTTCTGGAGAGCATAAAATGACCAATTTAATACAATAACAACAGCAGTTCTCTCTGGATGCAGCTGTGTTGTCACAGGGGATAAAATTTGACCTTTCGCACAATGACAACAAAAGATCTTGCTATTCCTTAAGACATCAAAACAAGGATAGGGGCTCAATATAGAAGCAGCCATAAAAAGTTCTTGTAAAAAAAACTGTTTAAGCTATTTTACTTTTATCCAGCAAGCTATATGACTACCACATGGAGAGGAGGCCCTGGTGAAAGTCTAATTAAGTCAGCAGACCTTGCATAGGAAAAGGTACATTTCTTTATTGAGATCTTCCTTTGGCCACGTTTTGCCTTTTCTAAGTGTGTTAGACTCGATCTGAAAAATAGCAGTAAGAAAACAGT